TATGTCCTAGGATGTCTTAACATTACCAATTAGTAGTTTAAGACTAATTGGATACATATATGTGGTATTATATGTTAATTAGGGTTATAAAGTGTGTTCAAGACTTTACTTGTCACCTAGCGATCCTACATCTTCAGTTCATCCATACCACTCACTACAGGTGAGTTCATACCCCTTAACCAATGATTTAAATGTTTTTAAATGCTTTATGGGGGGGGGGGATACAAGTTAAATACTTATAGTTATTACATCAATCACATGTGATTAATAACTACAAAACCAGTGATTTCTTACTGTTCAAACTATTTATCAAACCATATTGTTTCAAACTGTTTTATAAACTCTTTTACTTATCAAATACTTTTACTAAAACTCTTTTATACTTATTATCAATTGGATGTCTATGTATGTATACTTATATAAGAAATATTTAAAAGGCTTAGGGAGGCCTGCCCATCCTATTTCCTTTTCGCGCTTGAGATGTGGTCTGGTGGGATATCGGGTATCTGTCCGAAGGTCATTTAAATATTAATTATATATCATGTGTACATATATAGTCATAAAGGTCCTTCCAGTTCATTCAGTACCTTTGGTTAGCAAGGGTATACTTCCATGTTCATACGTACCAGTTACATCACTAGTAAGTTACCATAGGGGTAGCACAAGAAGATACTAATACTATAACTAGAACAATGAAACATACAATGAGTCAGTTCGAGTAGTACTCATAGTAATACAATGAGTCAGTTCGAGTAGTACTCATAGTATTTGCTATACATGCTAGATAAAGAGATAACACACATTACAACTAGTACACACAGTACATTACTATACATGCTAGATAGAGAGAACATACATTACAGCTAGCACACGCAGAACATTTCAGTACACACAGGCTAGACAGAGAAAGATTACACTTTCAGTTAAACATTCATTACATATACATTTATGCAGTTATGTGAACCATTGAGCGGGTCATGGCACTTCCTTCCACGACTGTTCTTGTATCCCGAATCTCCTTAATTGGAGAGTGTATGAGTTTGCGTATAGATCTATACTGGATTGACTATCCTACACCTTGCTGCTCGCTACAGTGGGACTTGCAAGTCTACGGGTGCCAAATGTCATTTCTTACGGCGTCTTACATCATCGTTTTACTAGAGTCGGTAGCAGAATACAAGTCGATCACATGTTATTCGGAACACCTTTTTGTATTAAGGTAGTTAGTATCACGATAGTCACTTATTACAAATACTACGATACAATAATATTTTCCCATTACATTCACACGATGCACGGTAATGTAGTAACTATATTTTTGGTTAAAGATAGTTAGAATTGGGAAACACACACTCTAACAAGAGACATACATACGAACACGAGATGCTTTGGTAGAAGGCTATAGTTAGTAGAAAACATCGGGTTTTCTAGGAGAGTTCAAACATTATACAAAACATCTTATAGAAACAACTTTCAAACGTTTTCATACAAACTCAGACATTAATATACTTATGATCTCACCAACATTAAGCTGATACTCGCTTTCAAAATAACTTGTATTCTCATGTCACCACTAGACAGGTACAGGTTCCAGGCTTTTGAGAAGATGGAGTTTGTTCAAGACTCATCTTTTATTTTGATATGTATATTTTTGGTGTCTATAACTTTGACAGAACACACATGTATGAAATTATATTATTAATGCAATGGATGATGTTGTTGCTTGTTTACTACTATTCATTGTTGTGATACTGTACATGACGTCCTCCGCCCCAGAATGTTTCCTCTATTCATGGTTTTGGGGTGTGACAGATATTATGTGAAGTACTATGCATGCTAGTGTAGGCTACTTAAATCATATATTAGGACTAGGGTGTCCTGATATGTGATGCCTTAGCCTAGGAGTTTATGCTGATGTGAGTTGCTTTAAGTGCATGTAGGTAGCGGAGAGTAGCTTGTGAGAAGTCTACTTGACAGTAGGTAGAATTCAGGGGGTATAGAGTACTTTCAAATTGGGATCCTAGGAGGAGGACTTAGTATGGATACAGATACGGTATGGAAGGTAGTATTGGTCCCGTACTACTGAAAGCACCGAATAGGTAAACATTCCAAGTAACTAGATTCAACAATGGAAGAGACTTCTATTCAGGTTCGACTCACTTGTTCCTTTGATTGATTTTATGGAAAGTGCAATGGATTATTTTATCATTGGCTACCGATTAATGTGATTAGATTCATGTTCAATATTACTAATCCTTAGAAAACAAATTAATTCAAATAGTGGCCAATTGGTTAAACTAATAAGTTTCTTAGTATTTTGATTCGTGTTAAGTAAGACTTGTAATTTTAGCTAATTAAATTCATCAATTCAATCAACATCTTGTATAGTTGTTCATCACACAAGCTCACACGCTAACTACTTATTTTCTAGTTAATCCTAGGTTCATATTCATTAATACTAGGCATATAATATTGTTTTCACAAAAATCATATGAAACAAGCAATTAAAAAGATGTTCATGCAACTTAATAGACCTGATAATTAACAGAAAATAATTATTGTCAACACATAAGGGTTTTTAACAAGCTTAACAAAGCAATTTCACCAAATCAATTAATCCATAACATAAAATCAAACCATATTAACAAGCTAATCTACCCTAAACAGAAGTGATGAGTTTTTAGCTCATATCTATAGCAACTAACATCTCAAAAATGAAATCTAATGATAAAAACATACTGAATACGATAGATTAAGAAAAGAGAATGTGTTTTGCCTTTCGATCTCTTCCAAATTGGTCTCTAGGGTGAAATCTCGAGTTACAGAGCTCCAACAATACTTCTATTCGCCAATTAGTCGCAATCAATCCTCTGAAAAACTTTTGGTCTCAGGCAATAATGTCCTTTATATAGTTTTCTGAAAACATGGGCAACTCGTCGAGTCCATAGACCGACTCGACGAGTCCATCACTTAAATCCCATATACGGTAAGGCACCTGATGGTTCACAAATCTTCTCATCAACTCGTCGAGTTCTTCACCTTTTTAGCTTGATTTCTTGTAACTTTAATTCCTAAACTTTCGATCGCTAGTCCAGCTTCCTTTTTAACTCAAGCACGACTTTTAGGCTGAAATATAATTTTAACACAATTAAGCACATTTTGTTCAATATTTGAGACAAAGTAGCCAAAACAATATTAAGATATTAGACAAAATATATGACTAAATATGCACATATCAAAATACCCCACACTTGACTTTTGCTTGCCCCCAAACAAAATTGAATTTTAGCACACTAGCATCACATAAGACAATCCTAATCAACCCCAACCATTATGCCAAGACCGCAACGTATGCCTTTGTGTCTAAAGTTTTTCTTAAAGAACCCCCCTAATCCTAAATACTTACAATCCTCATAAACACTCGTCCACTTCTTCTGAACAATGCTCATTTTATGCATCCCTTCGAAATCATCCATGGGAAACTTTCTTAGCCTCAAGTCATTTTTGGTTAAACAACCAAGCATACATAAATTCTAGAAAACTTCCATCCTTGATACCACAATGGAGCTCTTGAATTCTTCACTTATTTGATCTTTGATCCTTTGAATTCACCACCTTCTTTGTTTCGTTTTTGGTATCTTCAACTTTTGAATTTTGATCTTCGTATTATATACTTTAACTGATCCAAAATTCTTTAACTTTTTGGTAATTTCTCTCTTTTTTTACATGTACCTCATTTTTTTTTTCACTCAAACCTTACATGCTTAAGCAAGGAGCTTAACTTCATCCTTTATTGGTTAAGGTATTAGTCTTATGTGCAATGACTACTTAAGTTTTCCTGGACACATTTCTGGTATACGATGCTAAACATATTGCATTCCTCAAACTAAGGGAGGTTTTGTTTTTATTCCATGATTTCACTAGGATAAAGGTGGCCACAAATGCATTAGAACGTATATAGGCTCAACTAAACATTTAGGTCTTCAAAGAATCATCAAACACAATACTAGAATGAATCCTAAAAACAAAAATTTGCAAGTGAGAGAATGAGATATGAAATGCACGTAAATGAATTTGGGCTACAGTGGACTAATAAAGAAAGCAAAACACACCTTTTTGAGAAAAGCATAAAAGGGTCTTCCAGGGTTGGTCGGAGTGGAAGACGTTCTTATTATGGCAACACATCCACAAGAATATTCCACCATTTTCGTTTTGTTAGTTCCAAAGGCCAAAATAAGCATAGAGCAAAAGAAAGGGATATATGTTGAAGGTTGTGTTGAGTAAGGATATAAAGTAGTTTGAAGGGACCCAAGTTTTAAATAGGAAATTACCTAATTACCCATTTCTTTGGGCTCATTAACGCCGGTCGCAAATGGTTGAACAAAGAAAGTTTATTATCATAAACTAAGGCAAACAAATACATCACAATATTCAAGGAGTCACCAAAAGTCAAAGTGGTGTTAGAAAAGTAGTAGAACACAGGAAAATGATACTATAACCTGAACATGCCCGATTTTATCAGGATTTAACTTCGATGACCATACATATCAATATGTTAACAAAATGCCTATTGCAATCACACACGACTTCAAAATACATCCAAATATTCCCATTAGAACCATCATCAGATTACCAATACCACTACCTAAACATACATAAGCCTAATATATATATATATATATATATATATATATATATATATAGAGAGAGAGAGAGAGACACACACACACACACAAACAAACCCGGAACACGACCACAACCACCATTACATTCACTTCCTAATTATGAAGGGGAGCATGGGAATCATGAAGACAAACATGACGACAAAAAGACCCACCACCAACACAATAATAGCTTTGATTTTCTTCTCAATGTGGTTGAACTTATGCTACAAGTTCACCACATCCACCCTCAACAAAAGATAGTCCGGACCTATCTCCTCCTTCAATCAATCCACCTCAGTTTGTTATGTCGTTATCTTCTCGCCACAGTCACATAAAATGGTGTTCAAATCGGTTAGGTTAAGACCGTTTCTAGAAGTTATGGAGTTTCTAGTATCTGGTGATGGTGAGGTAGGCTCCATGGAAGATAGTGAAGGGATAAAAGGATTCTTGTCGAGTGGTTTTCGACTTGTGTTTGTCCAAAAATGGTAAATAAATCTTATGGTTTTGTCAACGAGATCCTCCCATTATATACAATGGGACCACATAGACCCTTAAGGCCCAAGTTAACCAACTTGTTATTGACTCGCTGACGTGCCATCTGATTTTAGGGTGGGCTGACTCAGTAAGCACTTTGGTTGCTTACTATGCACGGGCACTGGTTAAAATAGGTAAAAGTCTCTATATAGCCGGTGAAATGTAATTGTGTACCCTTAGAAAGCCAAAATAATAATAATAATAATAATAATAATAATAATAATAATAATAATAATAATAATAATAATAATAGGGACGTTTTAAACCAAAATGTGTAAGATAGTTGGGCTACAATAACATTTTCCCAAGAGTAAAAAAAAAAACTAGCATGGAATTAGCAAAAGTTTACAAATTATTCATATCTTTCTTCATCAAAGAGACCCAATTATGAGAAAAGTGTTTGTTACGAATACAAAAGGGAAATCTACAATAAAATCTCCATATTTTGGGTTACTTAACAGTTTAATCCAAACTTTTATCTTCTGAATAGAAAAGTTTCAATTACTTTAAATTTTATCCAAATTAACGAAGGGATCCTTATCCTTTTCAACAAAAAATGACAAATTGTCGTATAAAATTAGATAATCTAGACTTTTCAACTGAAAAAATAAATGTTGACATTAAACCGTAAACTGATCCAAAATATTGAGATTTTATTGGAGATTTCCCACTACAAAATCAATTAAACGCATACTTTTTTTAATCAAATCGACAATCTCATCTATTTGAGGCTTCGATGTGGCAAACAAAGTCATGTTTTTATACTTCCAAATATACCAAATGAGCGTAAAAACTACCGCTTCAATCAGAATATTTATTTTTTTAATATACCAAGAGTTATCAATCCAATACATAATGTCATGGATGCCAAAAACATTCGATGGGTAAATAACAAGCCGTTGAGAAAACTAACTTCCAACTTTGAACGACCAACTTACACCTAAGAAATAAATACTGAAGTTGCTCCACCTCCAGAGTGTAAATGAAGGACAAGAGAGAATGAACCATCAAACCATCTCTTAAAAATCAATCAATCTTTGTAAGAGAATTAGATCTCCCTAATCAAAATTAGAAATGGGAGAGAACGACAGGCTAGAGAATGATTGGCAACAAGTTCGTCAAAAGAAGAAATATGGCAGAGAATTTGTGATCAATGGGATGGCAGTCACCTTCTACTTTCATAATTTTCCAACAGATTAGAATGAAGCAACGCTTTGGAAAAAATTCAAAAGATACGGAACTGTGGTGGATGTTTACATCGCCAAGAAGTTTAATCGAGAGAAGAAGAAATTCATATTCATCAGATTTATCCGATTCCTTGATATCCCGACTTTTGAACGACGTCTGAATGAGATATGCATAGGTACATAGAAGATAAGTGTTAACATATAAAGGTTTGATAAGAGAAATTATGTGGCCCCAAGAAACAACCTCCCCCCCCCCCATAATTAGAAGACCTCAAGAAATTCCATCTATCAGATCACAGAGAAACTCAAGATCTTTTACTGATGTTGTGAGAGGTGTAAACTCTATTAATACGAATAGAGTGGGAGAGGCAAAAAAATAAACTGAAGGAATAAAAACAAAAGAGAAAACTATAAAGATGATATCCTCAATAGAATCGAGAGAATGCATGAACAACACCCTTGTGGGGGAGGTGGAAAATTCCAAACTCTTATGAACGTGAAAGCATTCCATGAAGTTGAAGGATTCCCATAGATCCAGATGTGATACTTGGGTGGTCTGAAAATGCTACTTGGTTTGATAATAAAAAATATAAAAAGGATTTTCTTAACAACAGAATAGAGATATGACAATTGTGGTTTAAAAGCCTTTCTCAAAGGCCAGTTGAATACAACTTTAACGAAACGATAACATCAATAATCATACAAGGTGTCTGCCAACATGCATGGTGTGAGGAAGCTTTCAGTATAATTGCCAAAAATTAGGGAACAATTGTAATCCCTGAAGAATGTGCCACAGACTCACCGAATTTGGCCTTTGGAAGGGTAGGAATAGTTACCAATCATCCTAGCATTATTAGTACTTCAACAATAATCATGGTGGACGGTAGGCCATACGTGATCATCATAATTGAAGATATTTTCAAATCCCTCAATCTCAGTCCTGTCCTTTCTTCCAACAACTTCAGCTCAAGCATGGCATGGTGGAATGATTGGGGGTGATGCTACTTGTGCAGACGGAGGAAGCTCCAACCACTCAAATGATGGGTGTGCATCGCCAGAATTGTCACCAGAGAATCCTCTCCGGAACCAAGTCTGGGAAGACGAGGAGATGCATGCAAGTAATTCCACACAAGGTCCCGATGAGTCTCCTCGATTCTCCAAAACTGATGACCGTATGTTGAATAATTTCATGCATCGAAGGAAGGAATTAGGTCAATCGCCAGTAGCGACCTCAAAATCAAATTCGTTGGATCATAACCCATGACAGGCTCCCCTAAATTTGGAAGATAATTTTTTTCATCCCAGGCCCAGTAAATAAATTGACCTAAATCAAGATCCTTCTCGATCTAGTGTGCAAAATTCTTGAAACCTCTCTACTGGGACTAGGACGACTCCAATGGTGCACTCTATCCCCCCCCCCCCAACCCACGGAGCCTCTTCATATGAATTTGGTAGGCCGACAACACCCCTTGGAAGATTCTCAAACTCAATTCATGAAATCGAATTCCACATCTACAGCCATGAAAGTTGCTAAAACAATCGAGGTTTGTGAGAAATTAGGGTTTCAAGTCAACAACAGAGCTGAGCAGCTCAAGGAAATGATCAGTAAACGAGGAGTAACAATTTTAGAATAATGAATATACTATCCAAAAATATTCGTGGTATTGGGTGTGAAATCAAAAGGAGTTGGTTGAAAGAAGCTCGTATCCAGAATCACTCATTTTTTGTTGGATTACAGGAGACTAAATCAACTGAGGTGAAAGGATGTTTGGATAACTATATTTGGGGTTCCTCTAATTTTCAGTGTGAAGTAGTTGATCCTTTGGGCTTATCGGATGGAATTGCTTCTTGATGAAACCCCTCCCTCTTTGAAGCTTATGATACAATCAAAGGTGCTGGTTTTTTAGCAATTAAAGGTCAGTGACGCAGGCTGAAGAAAGCTTGTTGTTTTATCAATGTATATGCTCCAAACGACCCAAATAAGAAGAAGACCCTTTGGAATAAACTCTTTGATCTTATTAATACGGAAATGGATTGCTACTCGTTTGTTTTTGGGGATTTCAATGCAGTTCATGCCCCAGAAGAAAGGAAGGGCTCAGTTTTTTGTCCAAGTACTGCATATTACTTCAATGAATTTATCCATTCCTTGGGTCTGATGGAAGTTAAATTGGGGGTCGTAGATTTACTTACATGAGCACATCGAGTGAGAAACATAGCAAGCTTGATAGATTCTTAGTATCTGCAAATGTAATTGATACCTGGCCACAATTAAATGTCCTCTCTCTACCCAAGTTACATTCAGATCACTGTGCTATTATCCTTTCCTCTAATTACCAGGACTTTGGACTACACCCCCTTCTGATTTTTTTAATTCATGGTTGAAAGAGCTTGACTTTGAAGCTGTTTTAAAAAGAGGGTGGACCTCTCATCATGGTCGTAACTTATGTTTACATATCTTTCCTCTCTCTCTCTCTCTCTCTCTCTCTCTTGTGGCTGGAAAATTAAAGAATATAAAGGAATTTATCAAATCTTGGAGGAAAGAAATTATTGAGAGGAATCGAAAGAATGTGACTGAGCTTACAAATAAAATCAATGATATAGACATCCAAGCTGAAAACAACCAGATTAATGATGAACAAAAGGATGACCCGTCAAAATGCTTATCAAGAGATTATGAAGATTGAAGCCTTGCGTATCGAAGACCTAAAGCAAAAGTCCAGAACCAGATGGGCCTTAGAAGTGGACGAAAATAGCAGCTTTTTTCATGGCTTGATAAATAAACATTACAGGTCACAAAGGATAAACGAGCTCAAGCACAATGGGACTTGGATAAACGACCCGGAGGCGATCAAAGAAGTGGCGGTCAAGCATTTCTCTCGTAGATTCGTTAAACCAATAAAAATCAAGACCTAAATTCATCTCTCCCAGTTTCAAGAAACTACTGCCTCATGTGGTTACATTTTGAGAGGAACCAATCACGCTCGATGAAATAAAATCGGCTATCTGGGCTTGCGGTTCTGACAGGGCACCGAGACCTGATGGCTTCACCTTCGCCCTGTTAAAGAAACATTGGGAGGTATTAGGGGGAGACTTTTACTTTGCAGTTAAACACTTTGAAACAATAGGGCAGATTGATAAGGGGTGTAATTCCTCATTTTATAACTCTTATACCCATGGTTCAGGATGCAATCATTATCAATGACTTTCGTCCCATCAGCTTAATAGGATGTTTATATAAAATGATTGCAAAGGTCTTGGCTGATTGGATAAAGAAGGTGGTTCATTTAGTGGTAAGCCCGGTTCAGACTGCGTTGATTAAAAACAGAAATATTCTTGATGGCCCTCTTATACTTAATGAGGTAATCGTTTGGATCAAGAAAACTAAGAGGAAGGCATTTACATTTAAGGTTGACTTCGATAAGGCATTTGATAGCTTTAGTTGGGAATATTTAGACTTAGTGCTGCAACAAATGGAGTTCAGGTCTAAATTTAGAAGGTGGATTCTAGGGTGCATCTCTTCTGCAAGAGTTTCTATACTCATAAATGGAACCCCAACATCAGAATTTGGCATGGAACGAGGGGTCAGATAGGGGAATCCACTATCTCTATTCCTATTTATTATTGCAGCTAAGGGACTTCATTTGGCAATGGAAGGGGCAAAAGAAAAGTGTCTATTTCAGGGCATTAAATTACCCTGTGATGGTCCAATTATATCACATCCGCAATATGCAGATGATGTGATTTTTATGTGCTCCTGGTCGATTGAGAATGCAAAGAACTTGATCAGAATCCTAAGATGCTTCGAACTATCATCAGGACTCAGGGTGAACATGTCTAAAAGCAATATTTTCGGTTTTGCTGTTCAAAGTTGAAAATTGAATTTGGTGGCTCGAAGTTTCAATTGCTCTGTTGGTTCACTCCCATTTATCTATCTAGGACTCCCAGTGGGGGCATCTAGGGCAAGATCTACACATTGGAATCCAATTGTAGAAAAATTTCAGGCGAAATTAACAAAGTGGAAAGCAAACACTCTGTCGTTCAGTGGCCGAATAACATTATGCAAATCTATCTTAAGCAGTCTCGGTTCCTTCTATTTTTATTATTCAAAGCACCAGCAAAAGTTATAAAGAATCTCTAGAAAATCAGAATGAGATTTTTCTGGGGAGGAAATATGAATTCGAAGAAGAAGGTATGGATTGCATGTGAAAAAGCCCTTTGCAAATAAAGACAAAGGAGGGCTTGGTATTGGCAGCCTAAAGGCACAAAATATAGCATTAATGGGAAAGTGGTGGTGGAGATTTAAGTACTCAAACGATAATATGTTGGCTGAGGTGATCAAACCCATTTACGGCCAAGATGGTGGTTTCCAAAGACCCTCGGTTGCAAAGAGAAAGAGCGGGTGTTGGGGATCAATAGCTAACATCCCTAAAGATTGCAAAAAAGAAAAGTTGGCCTTCTTAGAACATTTCAACCTGGTATCTAGTAACTACGGTCTTAGTAGATTAGGTTCGTCACTAGATCTATATGGGGTTTACACAGTCGCCTCTCTCAGGAATCTTATAGATAGCTCAAACCCTCCGCAAAGAGATGACAAATGGGCTTGGAATCCATTAGTACCTGGGAAACTTAATATTCTAGCTTAGAGGATATGTCATGGGAAACTCCCAACCATGTCCAACTTATTTAAAATTGGTATCAGTCAATCTAATGTATGCAGGTCCTGTAATGGTGCTCCAGAAACTGAAGATCATATTTTTGTGGTGTTTGGCAACAAGTAGGCAAATGGTGGCGATTATTGGATTGCTCTTTCAATTCGGCACGAGACTTACTAATTGTAAAGCACAACTGCATGGTCATCAGAGGCTATCCAATTTCCATGAAGCTATTATGCTGGTGTATTTATGGGTAATATGGAATCACAGAAACCTAACAACTCATGCCCCAAGCCCATGTTCAAAAACTCATTCGGCGCTGGCGTTTGAAGTAAAATCACTGGCCCATTTATGGATCAATGCACACACGCAATCGGAATGAACATTTATTTAGTTGACCGGAGTGGTGTTGTGACCTAATTCTAGAATGTTACTGTACGATTAAATAGTCATATTTTCTTAGTTGTTGCTTTGTTATGTTTTTTGTCCATTTCATACACTATTTTGTTTTTTGTACCTCTAGCCCTTGGCTAGCTTTTTAGTTTAATGTTATTGCCTGCTAGCTGTTCAAATAAAAAAAGATCTCCCTAATCCTCGACGGCGTCCATTCGACCGAAAAAGTCCATGATAAGTTGTAAGCTAAGTGGTATAAAGCATTGGTGATGCTATGTATGTCAAACGTGGGTCAGTTTACCTATCTATTTTTTTTAAAACTTTTGTAAAATATTATATAAAAATGTAATTTGTGAACTATCTTAAATATTTTAAGTGAACTACCTTCATTTTTTGGAATATATATATATATATATATATATATATATATATATATATATATATATATATATATATATATATATAACTCAAGATTTTCAAAGCCTATCTTTTCGTTTTTATATTAGTTTCATACGAATCATATGATTTTACATTCTAGACTCGATAGTCGTCTAAAAAATAGGTATGTGCTTCTAGTTTTATTGGGATCATGCATATGGCTTCAAGTGTCTTAGGTGCTGTTTGTTTTTTCGAAGCGAAAATTCATGAAGTCTACAGACCACCTCTGCAATCCTCTGTAGCAGAAGAGGTGGAACAAACGGCTGCAGCCTATAATAAGAAGCATGTTTGTTTTTTAACATCTGCAGACTGCTGAGGTAAACTAAAATTTAAATAAACTGAAATAATTCTCAACATTGAAATTTAATAATTCTAGTCTTAAAACATTGAAATAATAATAACAATAACATGTAAAAAACAAAAATATAAAACTTTTTTTTAAAAAAAAAACATTAAAAAATGTAAAAGAAGCTAATAGTTTTATTCTAGAAAAAAAAAACTAATTTAAAAAAAGCATTAAAAAAGAAAATAATAAAAATTTTAAGAAAGTATTGCAAACGTTGTCTACAAAGTTCGTAAAAAATTACACACATTAAAAAAAATATAACTGAAATTGAAAATATTATTAATAAAACGGTAAAAAAAAAAATTAAAAAAATCGTGGAAATTATAAAAATAAATTGTATCACATCCGTAAATAAAAATTTAAGAAAATCAAAGTTTAAAAAAAAAAGAAATTAAAAAAAAAAGTTATACAAAAATTCTTAAAAAAACACTTAGA